TTCCTCGTCAACAACAATATCCCAACTTTCACCTGTTGTGCTCCTCCCATATTTGTGAACTTTACTGGTAAAGGGACCAGGAGCATTAGTCTCAGTGTAGCAAGCAAATGACTTTAAAATATTCACAAGATTTATTTATTAATCAGAACACAATAATGTAGAGAAAAGGCAGGATGAACCTATTGAAACTGTTAATCAATGATGAAACTCATCAAATAGAATATTCCTTACCCGTTCCCAAAGTGTTCCTCTCCCCATGTCCTTGACCACCCTATAGACACACAACATTGCAGTTTAAAAGAAAATATCATGGTCAGTAAACATGTATGCCTAAAGTTTTAGTAGTAGTAGGTTGCCTCTGTACCTCATAATTTTAAAAGAAAATCAATACCAATTCACCTAGGTTATCCTCTGCTAAACTTTTGTCCTAATTTATGTTGTGCTGATTATGACAAATAGCACATAACTGTTTCACTTAAAGAGGAAACAAACATGAACAAACTTTTTTCCTAATTTAAATGTTCTTTAATTAAAAAGGAAGAAAGAAAAGCATAAATCTTGACTAAAGAAACCCAATGGGACTTACCAAATCTATGGACTAATTGGTAATTGAGAGTCTAACAGCAAATAACTACATAGTGCATAGAAAGCTTTTTATTATTATTAATTAAAAATAAAAATAAATAAATAAATAAGTAACCCAAACCTACTTAGAATGTCCTACATTACAAGGCAACACAATCAAATGAGTGGAGACATACGTTCACCGCCAGAAGATACATGCCATGTCTCCCCTTGACGTGAACCAATCCCAGCAAAGAACTTCTCCTCCCACTTATCTCCCCATTTGGTTCCCAATTCAGTCTCAGCCCATTTATCTGTCCTGAGAAGTAAAAAGAATTAAATTAATGCAACTCTAAGAGGCATCTTATTGGTCAAGAAAGTCTAAGCAGTAAAACATAAAAACAGAGGTCTATACTATAGTTTGGGAAATTTCTGCATTCAAGACAAAACAAACTCTTCTAGCTTATACGGTACCTTCATTGTAATTGTTGTGAGTAAAATATACAAAATGTAATTTTCAGACAACTAAAATAAGATATTCCCTAATATAAAAAGTGGTAAAATTCGCAGAATTCAAACCCAAGCATAACAAAGCAAAAAAGGTGATTCGAGATAACCATTTGACAACAGATCCTCCATCATAATGTTCTCCCCACTTCTCCCACCATGACTGTTCATTCAGCCTACCATACTTATGTGCCCCTTTTTCTGTCCAGCCTTTACCATCATATTTCTCCCACCTAAGTTCAAAATAAGCTCATCATAAATATAGAGCAGATACTTTGCCATCACTCAAAACATAAATAAAATAAACACCATCATGAATATCATCTATTGAAATGTCAACTCACCATTTCTCAAACCATCCAGCATTTTCAGGACCTGATTTGGCTTGCTTCTGAGCACTCCTTTCTATCCTTGCTAAATTACTGCAGTTTCAAAGATGCACCAGTAATTGATGAACAACAATATGGCATCCAAAATAAGCTACATATTTTATTTCTTGCCATTGGATAGATTGTAAACTTAAAAATAAGCTCTCTCATTAACAGCAAAGAGAGTAGAAAGAAAGACCTCCATTCATCTTGATGAAGCACCTCCTGCCACGTCTCCCACCAAGAATCTCCTTCAGCATTTCTTCCTGATTTCTCAACACCTATGTAACCGCACCTCCATTAATTCTTAGAATAAATAGTTTGTCCAGTGAAGTGACAAAATACTTCAATATATAAAGTAAGAAAGGACACCAACGATTCAAGGCAAATTTCCAGAATTAATTATTAGAATAAAAAGTTTGTCTAGTAAACTGAAAAGTAAGAAATGTACCTAGCTCTTTGTATCCAGTCCAGTCACTTTTCTCCCACCACTGTCAAGGAGATTAATAAATCCAATTAAATGCATCCACCTGGGATGATACTTAATGGGGTTATAAAAACAATGTCAATGTAACAGACCTAGAAAAATATTGCAGTTTTATTCGCATTTTTCAAATATCATTCCAAAAACTTTAAAGCATTTAGCTCATTTCCTTGTACTTCGGTAGTAAACAACCAGACTTTGATTTCTATTATGGTGCTCTCCAGAAAGAATCCATGCCATGAACAAAAAAAAAAAAAAAAGGAAGAAACAATCTATGCCATCAATTTTTTAACCCAAAACTTCCCCTTGCAAAATCTCTCATTTCAGAATGTTACTATGTTAAGAACAGCAATAGGGGTCAACATGCTATGTTACTTCAATTCACAAAATAAGCAGTCCTCCTCCTAAGCAATTATGTCCATCATCAATCCATCATTAAAGACAGGTAGTAAATCACATAAAAAGTTGGTTTTACAGAAAATTGATAACAAAATACACTCTCAAATCAACAGAACCAACTCATCCAAATATAAAATGAAAACAGAGTTCAAACTTCAATACCGTTTCTTTCCACTCGGAGGAACCATCCTTGCATTGACCACCCATCCTCGTCCCTCTACACCTGTATCCATTTTCACCTAAATCCTCCCCACTTTCTCGGTACCAAGTACTTCCATCTTCATTAGTCCCAGACTCATTAACATTTTCATTTAACAAGCTGATGCCCCAGTCTTTCTCATTTGCAATACCAGTGTCTACAAAGGAGTAAGCAATGAACCAATTTAGCATACATGGATTTAAACACCACTGCAGGTTACAGCAAGGTACAAGTATAGCTCATTTCACAACAACTCAACAATGCATTTTGCAAGCTAGGTGCTAGGATTACCTCTTTTTGGCGGAGTGTCACGGGACTGAGGGCCGTCGGAAGAATTTTTTGGGGTACACCGTGGGGAGAATTTCTCTTGTTTAGAAGCATATCCAGGTCTGTGACAAAATGCAGGAATCTTGAGAAAATGGAGAGGAAGGGAGCAAAAGAAGAGGAAACAGCAGATACAATTACGTACTCAGGAGAAGCAAAAGGCATTGTAAAAGAAGCATGGACTCGGAATCTGCGAGGGCTCTTTCTCCTATCTAGTCGCCACTCCTCTGCCTTCCGACCAAACCTCGCCGCCCTCCGGATCGAAACCTCAGAACAGCAGCTGCCAATTGGAATCATTAAGGCCA